TAAAAAAAGAAAATTTTAAAAAAAGATGACGGAAAAAATGTCGTGTTGACCAGCATTTCCCTCCCCGAGAAATACGTTTAGTAGTGGTAAATAAATAATTTAACATTATGCTCATATATACAAATACATAATGTAAAGGTGGTGTTGGCATTAATTTGCAGCTTTTCGTCAGTAAGCGTTTGCATCTTAATTTGAGTGAAAATATTGCTTTATTAGCAAATTATTTTCAAATTTATTAAAGGTATATGTATAATTTTTCTTTTCAAAACATTTCAATGTAAAATGTTTTTGCTCTAGACTTTAAGTCCAGTTTCAGATATTTTGACACCATTTCACATAAAGAATTATTCATTTTTATTCCGGAGTAGATAATATAAACTGATTCTCTTTGAACTCGAAATAAAAGACCAGGGTGACTACATGTACGATAGGTCACAGAAAAACTTTAATAGCTACTAAACGACAGAAGTTGTAATAATTTTTAAAAAGGCGTATTTTTTCCTATCATATAAAATAGCATTTTGTTCTGATAATATAGGCGGTTTAATTATAACGTTACAGTAGTAAGATTAAAGAGAATTATTAATGCATATTGATTTGTTTAGAGAGTGAATGAAATCAGCATTTTGATTTTCAAAAAATATGTTTTGCTTTTCATTTTAAGTTCATAAATGTAAAACGTCTTAATTTAATGTGGAATAGGTGGATTTGAAACGGCAGTCGGGCTCATAAGTCTTAATGAAGCATATTAAGTTTAAGAACATAATTCAAGATTTAAAAGTCCATAAACAATACAAAATAAGACAAGAATAAACACGGACCTCTAAAACAACAAAGGTGGGATCAGGTACTAAGGAGGAATAAAAACGAGAAATTCCGTCGTCAATTCATTGTATAAAAATGGTCTAACCAATTAGCAGAGTTGTGGAAAACTGTCGGTCATGCCAGCAAAACCGACTTAAAATTCGCATGACCGGTAAAAATGCTATCAATGTCGGTCCAAATGACCAGCCCCTTTTTTCGGTTAAAGTTTTTTTGTCTTGTGCATTTCCCATCTTAATTATCGTATCTTATATGCGATTGCGTAATACCTCTTCTTTAAAAGAGATTGAGGCTGTAAATGAAAGCGAAACTAGCATGGTTCCCGTGACCTATTAAATTCACAACTGGGGCCGAGTTAGGTAGAAAACATGTTAAAGAAAAACTTTAGATAAAGACGAGCTAAATATGAAAAATTTCAACAGAAAGAATTTAAGCACAGGTGGAGAAAGCATTTAACCTAGTATTTCCGACTGTCCCGAATTTTCGTTTTTTCTCCGATCGTGTTGATATCTTGATTATCAGATTGTCGATGAAAATTTTTTAGACCCATTTTCTAGGATAATATTATTCCAAAATGTATAAATGTTTTAAAAAATTACGTTGACTGTGCTGAATTAGCATTGTCACCTGCCAAAAAGCGGTGGTATAATTGTATCTAGTATTGCTATAATTGCAAAATTAAAAGAAAACGGAAGAGTACTTGGAAATGGAGACTGAATTTTGTTTTATTGTATCTAGTATTGTTATAAATGCAAAATTAAAAGAAAACGGAAGAGTACTTGGAAATCGAGACTGAATTTTGTTTTATTAACAACATGATTTATTAAATAGATGTGTTATAAAATGAATAAATGTTATGCTTTTTATACGCCCATCTTAAGACGGGACGTATTATGTTATAGGCTTCGTGTCCGTCCGTCCGTCTGTCCATTCCTGTCCGGCTCATAACTTGAATACTATTAGGCCTAGGATAATCAAACTTTGTCAACTTATACTTCTTGGGTAGACGGTGTGTCGCGCACAAAAAGTAGGTCGCTCTGACCTTTAATAAAGATGCTATAGCCAAATATGGAAAAATCCTGTCCGGCTCATAACTAGAAAACTATTAGACCTAGAGCTTTCAAACTTGGCAAAAGTATACATCTAAAGTAGAAGGTGTGTCGCGGCCTATTTCAAGGTCACTGTGACCTATAATTATATTGAATTTTTAAAAAAAACTAAGTCTTTTAAATTCTAAATTTCATTTTCCTAAAAAATGTAAAAATATAGTTATATGCTTATTAAAAAAAGTTAAATTATGTAAAAACTTATTTTTTCATTATATACTTTACAGCAATCTATAACAAATGTTTATGCTTTGAGAGGAATTCAGTTTGTCCCATGGGCTTAATTATCAAGCACTGGTCAAGAAGAATTTTGATAGCAGAAATTTGCATGTCAAATTAGAGAGAAATTAATGAGTTTATTATCAGGAGCTAAGAGCATCTCTAGATCTGGTGCAGATGCTATCTTAATTTATCTCTTGGGAGTTGGGCAAAAAGAAATGGCCTCATAGTTGCTTGTGCTAATTAAGAGTTCATGATGGCTAGTCCAGATAAAGATCTTTCAATAGGTGTAAAATGAAATTAAAACAAATTGATGTTTTAGTGTATGATTAAAACTAAATTAGTATTGTATAATATGATTAAAACTAATTATATATGTGTTCATTTAAAAAAAAAAAAAATTATATTTCAATTTTTATATATTCGCAACAAAGATGCTATAGCAAAATATGGAAAAAATCCTGTCCGGCTCATAACTAGAAAACTATTAGACCTACAGCTTTCAAACTTGGCAAAAGTATACATCAAAAGAAGAAGGTGTGTCACGGCCTATTTCAAGGTCACTGTGACCTATAATTAAAATGAATTTTTTGAAAAACTATGTCTTTTAAATTCTAAATTTCATAATCCTAAAAAATGTAAAAATATAGTTGTATCCTTGTTAAAAAACGTTAAATTAAGTAAAAACTTATTTTTTCATTATATACTTTACAGTTATCTGTAACGAATGTTTATGCTTTGAGAGGAATTCAGTTTGTCCCATGGGCTTAATTATCAAGCACTGGTCAAGAAGAATTTTGATAGCAGAAATTTGCATGTCAAATTAGAGAGAAATTAATGAGTTTATTATCAGGAGCTAAGATCATCTCTAGATCTGGTGCAGCAGTTATCTTAATTTATCTCTTGGGAGTTGGGCAGAAAGAAATGGCCTCATAGTTGTTGTGTTAATTAAGAGTTCTTGATGGCTAGTCCAGATAAAGATCTTTCAATTGGTGTAATTATTAATTAAAACAAATTGATGTTTTAGTGTATGATTAAAACTAAATTAGTATTGTACAATATGATTAAAACTAATTATACATGTGTTAATTGAAAAAAAACATTATATTTCAATTTTTATATATTTGCGACAAATTGAAGTCATGTCTCACTAGTATTATTTGTTATAATCAATCCCTACACTGTAAGTCTCTTAGAGATGTATAATAAGAAATGGAAAATAGATAATTGAAATCTGTGTCAATCTGTTAATCAAGGCTACCTGATTTTCTTGCATCCTAACCAATTTATGATTATTGAACAATATTTGACGGGCGTATCATGCTGTGGCGGGGCACTTTATTTCCATTTTGCGACTTACTATTTCGGACCGACAAAAATCACTTCGGACCGGCTTAGTTTGTTTTCTCGCCGGTCCGAATGACCGGCTATCTGAAAAAGTTTTCCACAACTCTGAATTAGTATGAAAAACGTCAATCAGCATTTGACTCAAATTGAATGATAATTTTATTTTCTGACAAGGTCATTCTATCTACCATTGAACTTAAAAAATGATGACATTCTACGAGACTGCTGATATTCTTAATTTATCAAGTTGTTTGTCAATAATTTATCTCGTTGTAGAAATTGATTATACGTTGAGCATGCTCTTGTGTATCGAATCAATTGAGATATATAAACTTTGTATGCAGGTGATAAAGGTATATTGCTGCATAAGTACAGGGGAATTAACGATAGAAAAGTTAAAGTTATCACGTTTACCATAGAAGTTAGCGGTTAGGTTACAATTAACATCTTTTTCTAGTAAAATATCCAAGTATGAAACAGATGTGTCAGACTCTGTGGTATCATTTATTCAAGCTCACCAGGATATATCGTATCGACACAAGAATGGAAATTATTGTTAATTGACAATACCTTCGTCGAAAGAGTCGAGATGAAGGCTACAACAAGTTTTTTCTTCTTTCTATGCATAAGATTTTGGACAAATTCTGCTTCATATAAATACAAAAAATAGATCTTTTAATAACAGGGAGGCAATTAGTACCTATGGTTCCAATTAATTGTTGGACGACCTTGTCTCCAGAAATATATTCTATAGATACTGGTTATCAGAATTTAAGCATCTTTTTTGTCAATTTCAAAATACTTGTATTTAAAATAAGATTTTCTTTTAGCAAAACAATTTTGCAAATGGCCAAATACAAGGTAAGTAAATTTTCATTTTTATTGAAAAAGCATATGTCAATGATATCCGTAATCGTGGGGAGTGGTTGTGCATAAATCTGAAAAGTCGTAAGTCTATAAACAATACAGATTTAGTAGCAGTGCAAATACTGACCAATAAAACATCAGAAGTTTAATGGAGTGACGTGGAAGCATACGGAGGTTAATTGATTTTCCCAAAATATTAATGGGGTAAAGTAGGAATTGTTTGAGTACATCATAAGATATTTCAATCCAAACATTTTCCATTACGGAAAATGCATTAAAGACCACCGGCCTTTTGTATAAAGTCAACTTTAATTTATCAATACTTCGATAAAGTACATCCTTCATTTATACGCATCGAAACAGATTATGTTTTTATTAATTTCCATGCGGATAATACATATGTTTAAAATTCAGAAACCAATCAGTAATTTTATATTCATGGAGTACTTTTTAAAAGTGTTTTTTCTAACTCTCATAATAAATTTTGTTGAAGGTGGATGCGAGAAAAGATTTGTGCATTATCTTTCAGTTTACGGAATATCAAATTCCTCCCGAACATATTCTCTCTCTGCAGCTAGAAACTTCTTTAGGTGTGGCGTTTTATGTACTGAAAACCAGTTTTGTGTAGAATTTCTTTACAATTCCATGAACAGGCAATGTGTACAATTATTTTTCTCACAAAGGGAAGACAACTCCTACACCGACCAAACTCCACAGACAAGTTTAGACTTTGTTCATTTCCGTAAAAGTAAGTAAGCATATTATTTATATATTCTGTGTTCATAATAAGTCAAATGCTGACTGATGTTTTTCATACCCATTATTAGTCCATTTTTATTTATACACTGAATTGACGACGGATTTTTCCATTATTTCCTGACCATGACAAGGAGCACACGGCGTGTGTGACCGGTCAGCAGGGGATGCTTACTCCTCCATGGCACCTGATCCCACCCCTGATGTTTCGGGGGTCCGTGTTTGTTCTATTTTAATTTTGTAATTTGGACTTTGAGATTGAATATATTGTTCGTTATCTCCATATCCTTCTTAAAATTATACAGAGAATGCCAGGTAGCATTTGACTTAATAAAACCTTTTATTAATGTTTACTTTTAATTAATTAATTTTAACTTACAAAAGGTCTCTTTTAAGAAAAATAATCAAAACAATTTTTGCTTTGAGGAAATGATTACTGTATATCACTTTGATTTGTTTTGATTTTTTTATTAAAGATAAAAAGCAGATGATGAATTTGATAATAGAGTAACAATTAAAGCAGTATGAGCTGCATTTTGGAAGATTTTATTTTGTTTTAAAAATGTGTTATTACGATAAATTTGTATGGAATTTAATCCTTTTTGGTCAATTAGACTAAAATAAAGCATTAAATTGTTTCTGAAGAAAAACTTCTTTGCAATCGAAAATACAGTATTATAAAAGAAATCGTTATTGACAGGAGAACAATAATGCAATTTTGATTTAATCAAAACTTATAAATACCTTTTTCATGTACATCGCAAATATGAAAGACAGAAGTTTATTAATATTATTTTTTTCTGCCATTCGAATAAGTATTTGCAATTTTGCAACAATAAATTCCAACATCAAAGTTGCAGCCCATATTGCTTTAACATATTTATGAAATAGTGAAAAATTAAACCTCTTCAATTGAAATTCAATGTAAGTTTACATATTAATTTAAATTGAGTTTCAAGAGCAACCAAATGGTATTAATTTGTTTTCAACACAGGTGCAATGTATTACTTTTTGATGAGCTAAAGATAAATTCTTTCCGAACAATTGATGAAATCTGAAAGTTATTGAAAGAAAACGTTTGTGACATATGGGTTTTTTTGGTAAAAAAACCCCCCTCACTTTATATTATAAATATATGCAAGAATGAAAGCAGACAGTCTCAAAAAATTAGGCAAAAATTAAGATCTAGCGATTTAAAAGCGATTAACAGTACTACAATTTTATATGCGAGCATATAATACATATTTTAAAATAGTTTTATAATATGATAATTGCAAATAAGTTTGGGTTTTAGGGTCAATTAATAAAGAATCCGATAACAAACTCAGAAACTGTATTGAATATCAATATTACAAAGGCCATTATATCAGAGAAGAACAAACCATAAACTAATATTTTATAAATTGTTCCATGGTATTGCCCCTAATTATCTTAGCGAATTATTACAGCCCTTCCAGCCAGTGCAACACTCTTATAGTTTGAGATCAGATGGTAATAATCTTACTTTACCACTATGTAGAACCGTATCATACTATGAAAGTTTTATTCCTTCAACTATAAAACTGTGGAATAATCTTAGTTCTGATGTGAAAATGTCACCTTCTTTATCGATTTTTAAGTCAAAAATAAACCAACCTTTTAGCCGTTGTAAATACTTCAACTTTGGAAGCAGAAACGAGAATATACTTCACTGTCAACTACGTAATAAAGCTAGTAATCTTAATGCACACCTAAAAAATCATTATATAATAGCCGATGCATCTTGTCCGAAGTGTAATTACCATACAGAAGATAATGAACACTTTTTTATGGATTGTCCAGCATATAGCATTCGAAGAAATAAAGTAAGAAAAAAATTAAATGAGCTTGATGTACCTTATGATCTAAAAATTCTTTTACAAGGGAGTTCGGAGTATTCGTTCCAAACGAACCTCAATATTATAAAAAAAATGTACATGAATATATCAAGTTAACAAAACGTTTTTAATCATATTTTCTTTTTTTAATATGCATTCTTGTCACTTTATACATGTTTATATTTATTATGCTTATTTTGATCTGGATCTGTGCGAGTCAGGGTGTGGTTGCGTGTGTGAATGTGTGTGTGTGTGTGAATGCGTATGTGAGCACTCATATCTAAATATGAATTGTAAATATATACTCTGTTCATTGTATTATAACCTTGACCTGTTATATAGAGAGGGTATTTATAGGCTTAAGCCTGTTGCCCAATCTATTCAGTTTACTGAATAAATATTGTTTAAATCAATATTACAAAGGCAACTTCGACAGATATGATCCAAATATGTGAATCTTATTTAAGAGGCATATGGAGATAAAGAACAGCATTCAATATTAAAAACCATAAGTGCAATACAAAATAGGAGCAGATCAAACATGGACCTTCGAAACATCAGAGTAGAGATCAGGTGCAATTGAGTAGTGAGCATCTCCTGCTGACCAGTCACACCCACCGTATTATCCTTGTCATAATCTTATGATAAGTACCATCCTAATAAAAAGAAACTATAGTACGTAAACTGTAGTATACTGTGACGATCGGGCTCGAGATTCAGTTAAAGTCGGGTTTTATCATTAGGCATATGGTTAAGGCCGAGGTTAGTCCGGGTGTCGCTCAAGTATATATAAAAGCGCATCCGAGGTAGTTTGTCATTCTGCGTTCAACTGTCAGAGAAGAAGGTGGCAAAGTAGCAGGTACGGGATTGTAATTTAAAAGACGTTTCATTGTTGATTAATACAACTGCCCAGTGTTGTATTGTGTTTCCTTGCTTATATACAGTGATATTTACTGTATATATTTATTTACCTCTTGTACCTGGCTGCAGCCTGTGTAATATAAAGGGATACATCCGTTTAGTTACACGGCTGGGGACAGATCCCTGAGATACATACCTCGGACAGAGCCCTGTCAAACACCTCGATCATTGTTCTTTGTTTTTGCTTTGCTTTTACAATAAAGGGATAGATAACCCTAGAAATATATGTATATATTGACTCGTTGTTTTCATATTAATCTTTGTAATTATTTTTCTTTGTAAATCTGATAATTTTCATACATCTCCTGGACTGGTCCAAATCATCGGACCCAGAACACGTTACAAAAATTGGCGGCAGCGTCGGGATTTGGATCAGTACTCTTAATTTCATTGCTATCATTTTGCTACTTGTTTAAGCATGTCAGGTTTACAAGCCGATGTTGATTTTTTGGAGAGAGAAATAGTTCGTCTCAATAGAGAGATACATGACTCTGTAATGAGTAGAAATTCTCCTGGCACACAAACTCCTGGAGTCCCGAGACACAGACCAGTCATAAGTACCAGTACTCCGAATGAGAGACGGAGAGATAGTGTGAGTGGATATGTCAGTGATGATGTATGTACATGTACGGATGATGATGAGAGTTCTGTATCTAATGATCGAGTTCTCATGCGTGCTCCCAAGCCTAGGACGCATACAAAACCTAGACAAGCTCGATCCAGAAATTTTGTGAAGCCCGCTACATATGATGGATCTGGTTTGTGGAATGATTATCTGTCTCACTTCGAATCGGTATGCCTTTTGAATGAATGGACAGACACTGAGAAGGGATTATACTTGGCTGCATCCCTTAGAGGTCAGGCACAAGGAGTATTAGGAAATCAGCCTAGAGAGGGACGACAGAACTACAAGAAATTAGTTAAGGCTCTCCAAGATAGGTTTGCGCCGTTGAACCAGACAGAGCTTTACAGAGCACAGCTCAGAGAAAGAAGACAAAAGGCGTCTGAGAGTTTGCCAGAGATGGGTCAAGATATAAGAAGACTCATAAATTTAGCCTACCCAACGGCTCCCGATGACGTCCGAGAAATTCTCGCTACAGAACAATTCTTAGATGGGTTGCACAACTCTGAGATGCGTCTCAAGATTAAGCAAGCGAGACCCATGAACCTGAATGATGCGATACAGAGAGCTGTAGAATTAGAAGCATACAACAGAGCAGAGAGCCGTCGCACAGATACAGTCAGAGTGATGAGCGAGAATACTGAAGACTCGTCTAAGACTTCGAAACTCGATGATTTCATAGAAACAGTTGAAAAGAACATGCGCTCATTACAGCGTGATATGAGGGAATTGAAACAGTGGAAGTTTCAGTCACAAAGTCAGACACGTATGCCTCGTCCAGCGACACATACAGATGATAAAATTCGAGCTAGGAAATGCTACAAGTGTGGATCCGATAAGCATCTGAGAAAAGACTGCCCACAGCTGAGGAAAGAGCCTGAAAACAAGTTTAGGAACGAGATCAATACTAAGAAGGATCAGCATGAGAGGCCTGGTACAATTCCAAAGAAAGATCACAAGTCAGAGGATGAGTACTCTAGATCTGTAAGCTCTATTAATGGGAGAGGGGTTTATGTTACTGCCCGTATCCATGGAATGGATGCATACTTGTTGATTGATACAGGTGCTACAGTATCTTTGCTGTCTACAATATGTTATGAAAATATTGCAAGGACAGGAAACAGTGCATTGACCAAAGTCAAGAGAGACGTATTAACTGCAAGCGGAACTACACTTAGAGTGTTGGGGAAGGTTCCAGTGGATTTCAAGCTGGGTAATGTTGAGATGCAACATGAGATGATTATAGCTGATATTACGGTAGACGGAATACTAGGTCTAGATTTCTTGGTAAAGCATGAGTCAATTATTGACATGCATAGGCAACAGATATCAGTCTCAGGCGTAGAACACCCTATTCAGCTTGAGGGGTCAGCGAGCTCATATAAGGTAGCCATTGTACATAGGATTACTGTACCACCTAGATCAGAAGTGATGGTGGAAGGACAGATATGTGCTAGCTCAGATGGAACTTTTCCAACAAAAATTGGTTTGATAGAGCCAGCTGAGAAACTTCTTAATTCAGATTCTTGCTTGCTGGCTAAAACACTTGTCCGGAGACAGGACACTGTTCCCATCCGTATCATGAATATTTCA